AAGGCCAGATAGCAGTAAGGAAGCTTACATTAGAAAGATTATTAAAAGTTCAAGTAGTTGCTAATACCAATTCCAGTTAGCACAGATGTCAGCTGATAGCAATTTATTTGGTTCTTTGGAAAAAGTTGGCGGTTACAACTATCTTAGCTGCCCAGGTGTTCAAATTTGGTTCCCATCTGCTGCCTGAATCATTGGCAGTTTAACAGAGTGGCCAGCATAGTGGTTCAACTGCCTTTAGTCCAGATGGAGTGTTTTTTCCCTTAAGTTTAGGATATTAATAGACTTGAATATAACTTGCCACTGCAGCTATACTGTAGTCTATTCATCTGTATCTCTTCAGGTATCACAGTTGTAGTGTTTGTGGTGATTTGTTTGTTTTTAAAGGTTTATTCTTGGAGGTGGGAAGCCTCTTACCTGACATGCCAATCTCTTTTCTAGGAGGATAACTATGGACAGTATGACCCACGGTACAGACACTACGATAGCACCAGCAATGCTTACGGGGAGCTTGGGAGCTATCGGTACCCTGAGCCTGAACGTCCTAGTTCCAGAGCCAGTCACTGCTCTGACAGGCCTTCTTCTAGGTATGCAATTCCTAAATACATAAAAAGAAAAAATGAAATCTCTAGTATTTCTCAAGCAAGAACCACCAAATTGCCTTCCAGAGATTACTGCTTTCTGATGATTATTGCACAAGTGGTTTGTACCAAGTTCAAATTAATGTCAAAATGTTACTGTTGCATGATATGGTGGGCTCTTTGCCAAGAGAGAACCCCATTTGTCTGTCTGGAAATACTTTGTAGTATTTATCTGGTGCTGTAGATAGCTCACTCATGGAGTAGTCCTCAAATTAAAGCCATAACATTTTGCTCCCCACCTCCAGAAGGCTATAGGAGGTGTATATTGGCCTTGAGAAGTACAAAACAATGGCTGTAGCTGCATGTGATAACTTCATCATCTTCTTAAGTGAATCTATGCGCACTGTGAGACTTTGTAATGAGATAATAACCTCTAGTAGCACTTCCTGGTGTGTACTCTCCTTGTGTACTATTTTTATAAGAGGCTGAGATTCCAATAGGTGGCACTGGGTGGATCAAAGTCTGTTATGAGTAGCTTTGTCAGTGTTGATGTGTGATGTGACAGTCGGATGTGGGCTGTGGTATGGTACTGCAGGGCAGTCTGAAACTTGCCCTTGAAGTACCAGTATTGATGATGCAGCTTTGTAAGCTCTGTTTAGGGATGGGAATAACATCTTTCTGAAGGAGACTGAGAACGCTGTTGGGTGGATAAACTTGATCTGATAACATCACATCTCCTCTGCAGAGACAGGTGCTGTGTTAGCAAACTTCCCACACAGTTCCAGGGAGGAGCATTGCTTGACTTGCTTGGCCACTTTAGAGTTGGCACTATCAGTTGTATGATCAGTCATAGAGGAGTGTGAGATTTCCCATCATTCCATGTTGGCATTAAATAGCTTTATCTCCTGTTTATGTATGTGTACGTAAATACATAAGTGTGTTTGTGAGATAAGATATAAACACACATCTATATACACGTGTATTTACATGTACCTGTACGTACACATATGTAGACATGCTACATTTCTCATCTAACATTAATCTTCTAGCTTTTTTCAGAAATTGTGGGATGGTGTCCTAAAAGTGGCTGACAATACAGGCTCATAATTTTTCAAGTAATGGCCGCATCTTTTTTTTTTCCATCTAAAGTAATGTGATTCTTGCAACTACAAATATTCTAATTATCTTTTGTATATACGCTTGCTTTCTTTGATGTGTTGGATTAAGTCAGGTTCTTGTGCTTGTTCTCTTCATTTGGACAATCAGTATTGTAACATGGGCTCTGTAAATGAGCATTTTCTTCTATCCAGTGTTCTCTGGTTGCTCAAATGAAAAACAAGCCTTTTCTACACGCTGCTGTCCCTCCAGGCCTATTGAGAAGGGTAATAACCTAGAAAATGCCTGGAATTAGTTGTGTACTGATGTGCTCTGTTACAATTGCATCTGAATGCTATCTCATTTATTCACTGAAGTATTTAAATGTAAGGATGTGCTAACACTCAAAACATTGCTGCACCTACTGAAGAGCTAAGATTGAGAAACAAGCTGAGTGCAGAATGAAAATAAAGCATCTGGCTTGTGGTAGCTCTACAATGTTAATGTTCTGTGTGCTTGCCAGCCACAGATTGTTATCAGCTCCAAGTCGAATGAGGTGATACGATATTGAATTCTTTGGCCAGATACTCAAAGAAAGGTGCAGCGCATTCTGGTTTTGTTTCTTTTCAGGCTGTATTTAATGCTGGTGACAGATGCCACAGTGGCAGCCCCAGAGGCTGAAACCCTCTGTTAGAATTATCTATGAGAATGCTAGTTCATGTCCTGACCCGTTTTTGTGACCTCTTCTCCAGCCCATAGACCTCTTTTCATCAGCATAAGATGTATAACAAAACACTGTTAAAGTTGAGGGAGCAGTTATTTCATTACTTGTTAAGTTACTGACCTCTCTGTTGAGACAGTTCAAAGGATGATAATTAGAGCAGTAGTTTTTGTGATTAGTTGTCTCTAAGTAACTAAAGCAGTTTACAGAAATCGCTAAGTTATTATATAGTAAGGGCTGTCAGCTTTTTATAACACACAAAAATTTAGTCATCTCTTGGTTTGTGAAGTCTTAATTTTATGATTCCTTGACTGTCTGTAAATGCATTATTTGAAATATGAAACTGTACCTAATAAGTTGTGGGATATAGTTCTTCATATCTCCTGCTGACTTTAGAAGAGGTTGAAGGAGGAATAATAACTTCATACCTGTGTGCTTTCTTGCAGGCAAGGTTATACTGAAGATTATTATTCAAAAGGTGGATGGAGTGATTATTATCCAGGCTATTACCCAAACTCGTATGATTATGGAGGTAACGTATCAAAATGAACTCTGAATTTTTCTATAGAAAATCACAGGTTTAAACAAAAATTTATGGGGAAGAGGAACTTTAAGATCAGAGAATCATTATATTTTTCCATATTAATAAGACTGATATAATTTCCAGAATAAAGTTATACTTGCAGAAAATTGAGCCTACTTCAGTTCTTAATACCATGCCATCCTTCCTGTATGGTTTTTATTCAGTAGAAGTAGTAAATAGAAAATAAATTGTTCTTCTTCACAAGCAGCCTTCGATTTGCCTTTCTGTTGTGAAAACACCATTGTAAGTCTACAGAATAGTTTTCTTCAGTGTGTTGCAGGTTTGTCATTCACAGGGGTGTATCCTTGCTGTGTAACCTGCAGACAGACTTCTGCAGTACATTGTAGGTGGGTGTAAACAGAAATTGACTCACGACTAGAATTTGGTTTTGCTGTGTGCTTCAGGACCAGATCAGCATGTAATTAAAGAGAAATGAGTAGAAAAAGGTTCTAGGCAATGGCTTCCAGTACCTAAACCATTTCTTTTTATTTTCCAAAGATCCAAATCGCTGGGAACGTTACTCATCAGCATATGACCCCAGATACAGAGATCCTAGAAGTTACGATCAGCGGTATTGGTATGATGCTGAACACAACCCTTACCAGAAGAGAGAAGCGTATCCATATGGCAACAGGTTTGTGCATTCGATCCATGTTATCTCTTTCCAGATCTAGGGCGCCGATGGTGATCAGTGAACTCGTGTGTGTGTGTGAGTGAAGGCAGAGACTCTGGTATTGGTTTCTTCAGGGCTGAGTTCCCCATGGTCAAATGTGTCAGCAGAAAATTAAGTTATGGCAGTAAGTTTTAAGGCAAAAGCTGAAGCTTTGCTTATGCACTGACAGAAACACTACTTAATTTGCTGAAGATTTGCCCCGTAGCTTTCAAAATTTATGAACTGTTGTGATGGTTGTATCAGGCATCAGAAGCTCAGAGTGTTGTGCAGCTTTGTAAACAAAATCCTCTCAATATTCTCTAGGAATGCAGATGCATCCTGTAACAGACTATAAAAATGCAGTATTGCACATATTTCAGATATATGCTACTAGTCCTTTCTGGAGCTTTAACATAGATCATTGAGGAAAAACAGATGAGCTGTCATGTCACTCTGAAGAAAGGGATTTAAGGCAGCAAGACTTGTTTTCAGATCAGCTGAACATGCTGTGCGTTTTCGTAGAAGATTCTGAGTGTGATGGTGGTCTTGATCTTGAACATTCTGGATTAACTTCTTGAAGAAATGTCAGTTTGTTTACTGTAATAGAAACCTCTACCTAGGAGATAATTTAAAAGCCCCTCTGAAGTTAGGTAGAGCTCTCTTCTTGAGAGGTGTGCAGTGAAGTCACTCCCCTCAGGGATATGGGCGACATGTTCATTTTTGCTTTGTCTGTTTCTTTGTTCTTCAGACATGACCGATACGAAGATAACTGGAGATATGATCCTCGTTTCACTGGAAGTTTTGATGATGACTCTGAACCCCATAGAGATCCTTATGGGGATGAATTCGATAGGCGCAGTGTCCACAGTGAGCATTCTGGTCATAGTCTCCGTAGCTCCCGCAGTGTTCACAGTCACCAGAGTAGTTTCAGCTCTCGCTCTCAACAAGTAAGTTTCAAGTGGTAACATCAAGTGTTCTTTCAGCTGAGCTGGGTCTTTTTCTATGTTAGGAGCAGGTGAAGCATTAGAAATGCAGAAATACTTCTGGCTTCAGCTTAGGGAATATGCATTTTGAAAACTTTTATTCTGTAAGTTAAGGCTGTTTGGTCTTACAGTTTTGAACTCAGCTGTGCAGGTTGCCACACACATAGAAATGGAAAATTTCCTCTACTGAATCCATTTGCTGTTTGTGAGAACTTTGCCTTTGCTGTGCTTGGCTGTAGTTGATAACGTGTCTGGCTTTCAGTGTTGTGTAATTTTTTTTCTCACCACAAGCATGAACGCTATTACTGAACTGGAGATCTGTTAAAAGACTAACTCCGTATTTGTATGATGCTATTTTGACTTCAGAAGCAAAAACCAACTCTAACTGATTACTCATCTACTTATGCCATAAGTATAAATACCTGAAAAACACAGAATATTTGGATAGTTTTTGAGGTGCACTCTTTGCTAGTGTAATGTGTCATTTTTGCTGTATTCATGTGTTGATTCATCATGTTTCTTGGAAGTTTAGGTGGTTTTCCAGTCTGAACTCCAATTTATATAGTAGTATTGGAAGTAGTGTTGGAGATCATTTAGGCATTAATCTTTAGGCACCTGAAGTCATTTAGGTATTAATCAGTTGAGGTTTTATATCAAAGTGTTGCAGCAATACCTGAACCTGTAACTCATTCTATAACGTTACTCTTCACAGAAGCACATAGAGATTCTCTGGTGAGAGAACTGAACACACATGGATGTGAGATCAAATGGTACTAAAAACTGAATGAGAAAACTAAAATATATTCATTCTCTTCTATAGCCTATTGCTGCAGGTCTCTTGCAGGGTAGCTTTCTCCAATGCAGTGATGTAGTAAGCCTGGTTTATAAACAGTATAAAGAATCAAAGCCGGGGGGAGGAATGCTTACAGTCTTGAATCGTGCTTGCAGGATTGCTTGCTTTGTGTAACTTCACACTCTGTGCTAACAATTACTAATATGATCTATTTAGAGCCAGCTGTATAGAAGTAATCATGATCTAATGGCTAATACGTATGAAACTACTGCGCAGGCAGTGTCGCTCCACACAGATTATCCATATGGCGGATATGCTGCTAATTTTGATGGACAACAGCCTTTTACAGATTACGGCTACCCGACTGAAACTGGATGGTCAGCTGTAGAACAAGGTATTGGCACCACTGGGGAAGGAGGAGGGAAGGCTCTGTGCTTGTGAAGTTGTCTACCAGTAGTAGTTTGCGCTTCTCTTAGTATTTGTAGTGTATGAGATGCCTTTCGTGTATTCATTGATCCTGTTAACAGGAAAAAAAATGCTGGTTTACAGTGTATGTACACATGAATAGAGTTTTGTTTCCTTTCCAGTGTAAGGATAACTTGCATGCTGAAATATCAGAATATCACAGAACAATAGTAGCTAGACAGTTTGCTATTAAATACTGCACACTTCCATCTGTAAACCTCTTTTTAGATAGATTTTTAACTACGCTGCTTGTGCTTCATGGGGAATGATTAAAGTTTAGCTTAAACTTCAGATTTTTCTATAGTCCTACCTTTTCTTTGTGTTTCTCTGGAAAAGCTTTTCCAGAGTACACTGAAGTGTATCATTAGCACTTTGAAGAAGATGGGTCATATCTTTGTACAGAGATCACAGGAGCGTGTCTGATACAAACAGTCAAAGCCTTTGCATTAAAGAAATAATTGTTGCTTATAAAGTTTAGCCAAATTGAATGATAGGGTTTTTTCTGCTAGTGAACTGGATAAATACATCAACAAATTTGCTTAGTTGCAAGACAGGTCTTGTTCTTATTTTACCTTTTCTTACCATTTCAGCACCTTTAAGGCCCTCAACGCCTGAGAAATTTTCAGTGCCTCATATCTGTGCTAGGTTTGGTCCTGGGGGCTTCTTAATAAAAGTGCTGCCAAACCTGCCTTCAGAAGGACAGCCAGCTCTGGTTGAAGTGCACAGTATGGAGGTAACATTTAAAAGAGAAAAGCGAAGTGGTGTTTATTTTGGAAGGGGAGTAGGGAACTTGAATCTATAGCTTCCTGACTCTTTCTTTTCTTAATATGTCAACACATGTGTCTTTATTTGGGCTGTAATCATAAGTAAAACAGTAACTTTAAAAATATTTTTCTCTGAGAGATGATGTAGTCATGATCAGATCATGCAGCTCCTTATAACTTTGTTCAGGTAAAATCCTTACATCCTGAAAGGGCTGGAGTTGTGTTGGTTTTTCTAATGCATGGCTGGTCATAGAGCCAGCATTGTCCTCCTACGTTCCCTGCAGGGCTAAGGAATGCTAGTCATCTAGATGGACTGAGGATTGAGTATCATGGGTATATTTTCATTCTTCTTGTGCTGCTGGGAAGAAATGCAATAGTCAAGTCATTAAATATATGGAAGGACGGGTAGAATTCGTTGGTAAAATACCACTAGAAGGGAGTAGAATTGTACACAAGTACTGGAATAGCATCAGGAAAACTATTGGACTTGGCAGTGCTAAGTTTGCAGTTGGACTCAGTGATCTTAAAGGTAATTTCCAACCTAAACGATGCTATGATTAAGGAGCTGAGGTAGCTTTTTTCTATTTTGCTGCAGAATGACTTCCTTGTAAAGTAGATTTCAGCATTTATTATCCTTTCGCAGGTTGCAAGTTGCTGTATGTATTTTGTTTAAGAGCGATAGGCTTGATTACACTGTGGGTTATGTTCATGTCTGGGGTTTTTATTGTTACAAAGAAAAATGCATAGTTTTAAAAATTTCTTACAGTTTATATTTGTGTTTTAGACTATGTTACAACATTCTCCAGAGCAAGAAGAGATGAGAGCGTTTCCTGGTCCTCTTGCTAAGTATGTTCTTACAGATTTCAGAAATAACTTTCGTGCATTCACAATTCATTTCTTCATTGAACTCCTAGTTGTCTGCAAATTACAGGATTTAAACTGACTTAAAATATTTTCACCTGCTTAAATAAAAAAGAGCTTTAAATTTGTTCATCATGCTAATCACAATAATGATCTGAAAGTTTACTTTTACCTCATTAAAAACTTCTTTTTTTGTTGTTTGTTTTGTTTTCAGGGATGACACCCATAAAGTGGATGTTATTAATTTTGCACAAAATAAATCTACACAATGCTTTAAAAATGAAAATTTAATTGACAAAGAATCAGCAAGTCTGCTTTGGGACTTTATTGTACTGTTGTGCAGGCAGAATGGGGTATGTCTTGCTGCTTGAATTTTTATCTATCGTGGAATATTTTGTACACAAAATAGTGTTTATGTAAAACACAGTAATTTGTGTAGTGACTTGTTTTGGAATAGCTCACAGATTGATGGAGAAGGTAAGTTGGTCACTTGTCCTCAGGTGCTCAGAGGCGCTGACAGTCACATGTTGCTGAAGTGACAAAGTGAAGGCAATGTTGAACTACTGGATTTTTAAATTTTGGGGTTTTTTTTCTCTACATGTGTAGACTGTTGTGGGAACAGACCTGGCTGAACTTCTGCTCCGAGATCATAAAACAGTGTGGCTTCCTGGGAAGTCCCCTAATGAGGCAAATTTGATTGATTTCACTAATGAGGCTTTGGAACAAGTGGAAGAGGAATCTGGTGAAGCCCAGCTCTCATTTCTCACTGACAGTCTTATAACCACTATTGACAGCCTTGAGAAAGAGACAGAGAGATTCAGAGAGTTGCTGCTCTATGGCCGGAAGAAGGTGAATGTTTATGCTGTTGTTCCAAATACTACATGTGTCTTATTGTGTTTACTTTTTTTTCACCAATCTTAGAGCTCATTTAAAATAATTTTTGCAACTTGCAATGCATATAATATTTCATAGCACTGCACTGATAGGAAAAATGTTGTGCCTTACAGTTTATAGTATGAAACAGAATTATATTCATGTGTCACCACTAGATCTAAACAAATGTTTTTTCATTCAATCATAAAGTACTACTGTAAAACTGTCATCGTTTATCTGAGTAGTATGTTAGGCTATTCCCAGGATACTAATTTCTGTATTAATTAGGATGCTTTGGAGTCTGCCATGAAGCATGGTTTATGGGGTCATGCTCTGCTACTTGCCAGCAAAATGGACAGTAGAACACACGCAAGAGTTATGACCAGGTACTGTTTTCCTTGTTGATTAGTACAATATGACTACCTCTTCGGCTAATGAGGTAGAGACTTGGTGCTCATAAATATTAATATCAAAACTCTGAGCTATTCTTAGTAGCTCATGCAAGTATTATGCTTTAATTTTACCTGTATATTCACTTTTTATTCTAGAGCCTTCTGGCCATAAACTTAAACCCAAGAAGTTTTTCTATGCCACTAATTACATTTAAGGGGTATTAGAACAGTGTCCTCTGTGGGCTTGCTTGGCAGGTGCTGTTAGTCAGGCTTTGAAAAAACTGTGGGAAATCCCAACTGTCAGCTTTGTTAAAGCCAAGTAACTCTGTCTTACCCTTCATTCTACTTGCCTGAAAGAAGCAGATGTGTTCATGTGTGCTTTGTAGACAGGAAAAACTTTCTCTTGGCTTCCTGAGCTTGTGAAGTACTAAGTACTAAGTCAGCTGGCATGGGAAGAATCCTGAGGTTTTTCCTAGCTTGGACTGACCTATGTCAGCAGGGCACATCCAGTTAACTAATAATGCTTTACTTGTGAATATTATCCACAGGGCAAGTGCTTATTCAGTGTAGTATTTTGAAATGGCACCTCCTTCTCCAACTAAGCTAGATTAACTGCCACTGAGTGTTCGAGTACATTTTTAACTGCCTAATGCATGTTTGTGTTTTGTTTTTCTCTGCAATGCCTCTGTAGATTTGCCAACAGTCTCCCAATTAATGACCCTCTGCAGACTGTTTACCAGCTCATGTCTGGAAGGATGCCAGCTGCATCCACGGTAAGATTCAAACGTGAGCTGCGGTTGAGACTAAAGAGGTACTGCAGTGAGTGGTGTACTTCACTCACACACAGAATCACACACAGAAACACACACAGAATCACACACAGAATCACACACAGAATCACACACAGAATCACACACAGAATCACACACAGAATCACACACAGAATCACACACAGAATCACACACAGAATCACACACAGAATCACTCGGTTGGAAAAGACCTCTGAGATCATCATGTCCAACCGTTCCTGTCTACCCCCTAAACTGTATCCTTAAGTACCTCATCTACCCGCTCTTTAAATACATCCAGGGATGGTGACTCCACCACCTCCCTGGGCAGCCTGTTCCAGCTTCTGACAACCCTCTCAGTAAAGAACTTCCTCCTTATCTCTAACCTGAACCTCCCTTGGCACAGCTTGGTGCTGTTTCCCCTTGTTCTATCCTCCATCACCTGGGAGAAGAGCCCAGCACCCACCTCTCTACAACCTCCCTTGAGGCAGTTGGAGGTGGTGATGAGGTCTCCCCTCAGCCTTCTCTTCTCCAGGCTAAACAAGCCCAGTTCCCTCAGCCGCTCCTCATCAGGCTTGTTCCCCAGACCCCTCCCCATCCTTGTGGCTCTTCTCTGAACACGCTCCAGAATCTCAACGTCCTTCTTATAGTGAGGGGCCCACAACAGGAATCTTCCCATGTACTTTTCCTAGAATTGTCAGATAAGTTGTTTTAGTTCTTTTTAGGTTGAAACACCCATGCAGAGCTCCAGTCACCGATTTGACTAAGTAATTTTTCTGATTTTAGTGCTGTGGAGATGAGAAATGGGGAGACTGGAGGCCTCATCTAGCAATGGTGTTGTCCAACTTGACCAATAATGTGGACTTGGAATCCAGGACCATCGCTACCATGGGAGACACTCTTGGTAACTCTTGGGGAATGAACAGGGTGATGACGGAAGCAAAAGCTTTCTGAAAGCTTTAATTACTCAGCTTATTTTTTGGAAACAAGCAATTGCTGTGTGAAATGTAAAGTGGAACAGTTCTATATGGGTGGGTGTGTATTGTGAATGTATTTGAATGCAAAGTCAAAACAATATGGGACACTGAATTACAATGTGCCACCGAGAGGAAATATCCTGAGTTCTGTTGCTGTTCTACAGCTTCTAAAGGCCTGCTGGATGCTGCTCACTTTTGTTACCTTATGGCCCAAGTTGGATTTGGAGTTTACACAAGGAAGACAACAAAGCTTGTCCTAATTGGATCAAATCATAGGTTTGACTTACTTTTTTGTTTTTAACATGACTCTTTAGATGCAAAAATTAAAGCTTAATGGCTTGAGAGAGTGAATTACACTGCTCCCCGTATCATCACTGGCCACAGCTGGTTTCGAGATAACTATTTGATGCCCTGTCCTTGTTTGAGCAGTAGAAGTTATTGATGTCTGATTGTCTTTATTGTCAACATATATAATCTCAATATTGAATATTATCTTTCCTATCCCATTTCTCAATAGCTTGCCATTTTTAAAGTTTGCCACCAATGAAGCCATCCAAAGAACTGAAGCCTATGAATATGCACAGTCACTAGGAACTCAGCCTGGCTGCTTGCCCAATTTCCAGGTGAAGAGCTGTTTCTTTTTTTTTTTGGCAGTTTTTATGTGAAGTTTTATTCTCTCATGTGCTGTCTTCAGCACAGTGAATAGTTTTTCCTTTGTAACATGAATTATTTGTGGATAACATAGTGCAATAGAGCTTTTTTCCTCTTCTCACTTATATCTCCTTTTTGCATTTTTCATCTCTGCGTACTGAACTTCTCAATTTTAAATTTTGTTGTTATTATACCTATATTCCAATAAAAGATAAAGCCAGCAAAATGTGTTGGCAGTAGCTGTAGACAGATAATTTCCACTGGGTACAATGAGTGGAAGAGGAGAATTGAATGCTCTTTCCCCTCTTTTTTTTTTTCTGCCTAATACAGATGTGATATCTGAGCTTTCAGCTGAAATGACAGACTGCCTTTCATTTGATACTCCTAAGAATGTTCTGGTCATTTAGTTTATTTCACCTGCTTGCATTCCATAGGTTTTCAAATTCATCTATGCTTGTCGACTAGCTGAAATGGGACTGGCTGCTCAGGCTTTCCATTACTGTGAAGTGATTTCCAGAACTGTCCTTAGAGATCCACATTACTATTCACCTGTACTTATTGGCCAGCTAATCCAGGTAACATAAGGAAGAATCAAGTATCTGTGGCTTTGTTTGTGGCTAAAGTTGCTCTTTTTTGCCTGGTTAACTTAAACTTTACAATGATTCCTTTCTCTAGATATCATCGCAGCTACGCCTGTTTGACCCACAGATAAAAGAAAAACCAGAACAGGAATCTTTTATTGAACCTTCATGGTTAGTGAGGCTTCGACATGTGGATGGACAGATCAAGGTACAGAATGTACTTTTCAACTTGAAATATTCTCTTTTAAGGATTAGTGTAAATCCAGTTTTTGAATGCTTTTGTTTATACTGCTAACTGCAGAAACATAGGAAGTGACCTTATGATACGTTCATGTCGTAAAGTACAAGTGTTATTATTTAAACCAAGTGTGGATATACCAGACTTTAGTGCCCTAAGGATCAGCAGAGAGTAATCAAAGGGTAGTGTACATTATATAAGACAGGCTTTTCTTAGTATTAAGAAGTTAGTGCAAGGAGAAGTGCAAGGCCCATTAGGTTGCAATAACTCCTGCTGTAAGCAGAGGATCTGCTTGCTAAAAAAATAATGTCTGTGAATTAGTGTAGCTAGATTGTAAGAGAATTGAAATAATTACCATTTATTTAAAGAGATCTGTTAGAAATTTGGACCTTAAGCTAATTAACTAAGCTTCCATTTAAAAAAAAAAAAGACAAAAACCCCCCAAATTTAAAAATTTTTGGTTGAACGTGGCCTGCAAATGGCTGACAACTCATTTTTTTGACAAAACACTAAAAAACCCTGTGTGCTGTTTTCACTCTTAAGATTTCCTTTGCTGTATGTTCGCTTGGTTATGAACTTAATGACTGGTACCGTTAATAAGATCGTGCTTTTTTTGTGCAGGAGGGTGCAATAGCTTATAGCACAGACAGATCCACCCCACCACCATATGCGTGTAGCACACCAAGCTCTGAGTTAGACCATGCTAGTCAATGTGATGGAGCGGGAGTTGGCCGTGACATGGGTCCAGGTGCTGAAAATGCGTTGTTAGCATCCTTACTACCCAACATGGCTCAACAGATGCAAAGTGTGCAGCTGATGCCTTCAGGTTAGTGTTTCATATCCTTCTTCATGACAGAGAGAAAATAAATATTTCAGGTTTCTGATTATAAGAAACGACTTAAGAGGGTGATAGAAACAGTGAGATTTCACTTCTGTATTGTATAGTAATTTTCATAGAGTTAAAGGTTCACACACTGGAATTCCTGTTTACTTATGACTCTTAACTTTCCTCTTTGTGCTGCAGTACCTCAGGCTGTCCTTGGTGGGCCAGCTGCTGTGATTCCTCATGGTGACCAGGAAGCTGTCCGAAATGTCCCATTCTATTCAGTGGCTTCCCAGCCTATTGGTCCAGGACCCGGCTTTGCACCTCCAGGATTTTCAAATCCGTATGGAACTGAACCATCACCGCAGTATTTAGGGTCAGCACTACCACCAGGAGGGCCACCTCAAGAAATGGAACCACGGTCAGAACAGCAAACAAACCTGGAAACAGGTCTGGGATCTTAGTGAATAGCTTTCCTTCCTTATAAGGGGAATGAAGTATCTGGGGGAATAATGCAAAATATCTCAGCATTTAGAAAACAGTAAGTCAAGTCTTGGGTAGTGAATTTTTAAAACATCATGTAATGATACAGTAACATCTGTGTAAAGTTATTGTATTCATCCTGCTTATTTGGCTTAGTTTAAAAGAGAGGTGATACTCAGAAGATTATGATTTAGACCCTAACAGGTAACTTTCTGCATTTTGGAATCACTGAGTGATCACTGGAATTGGCAGTCATGTTCATAAGGTCTGTGGTTGAAGCCTTTGGGATTTCTGCTTCTTGGCATCAGCTTCTAGGACCCTGATAATTTTTAATTCTGTGACTGCAGAAGCTGACGTGTGAAGGCAGGCACACACAAGTTTGGCAAAGAGACATGAGGAACCTTCAACTGTCCCATACTGAAGGTTGCATCCCTCATCCTGTTTTGACCTGTGTTTAGAACAAACATACCCATGCGGTGGGGGGGAAGGGGGTGGGAAATAAAAATCACAGCAACTGCAGTTCAGATTCTTTTAAAAGACCAGATTTTCTAGCACAGAATTTGTAACTTGTTCCTTTAAAGTGTATTTGGGGAGTTTAGGGGCTTTTGTTGTTGTTTGTTTCCCCTCCACTAACATAAGCTAATTTATTTTTTAAGGAATGCAGAGAATTGCCCCAGAGACTCCTTCACAAAACTTCCCTGAACAGAGAGAGGAGGATTTCTATGGCAGAATGGCTAGCATGGTATCTTCACTTCTTACATCTCTCTAGAAAATGTCAGCTGCATTGCAGATCTTTGCAAACACAAGACTGTGTTGGGGCTCTGTCACCTTGTTCGTCAAGACTTGATGCTTGCTTTTTCTTCCCCACTGTCCTTCCCCTTCACTAGAATAAATAATGAAGAACTAGTAGAATAATTTTAGCCATAATTTTCTTCTCTAAAAAGAATTTTTTTAAAGGGAGAGGGGGATATCAGGCTGTTGTCTGAGGAGTGTAATTTATCTTTCTCTGCCCTGCCTCCTCTCTCATCGCCCAGAGTGATGCTTCATAGCCAGTAGAGTTTGTAGCATAGATCAGCAAGTGAGGCAAACGGGCCCTAAAGAACAGTTCTGTGACTGAGTTTTAAAAGCATAGGATTGATTACCACTTCATCATGACTGGAAACGTGGAAGGTGTTTATCAAAATCCCAACCTCCTTTTTAAAATACATGGTATGTTCACTGTTTACATGGTACTGAAGTTGGTATCTCCTTGGAAGTTAGTTTAGTCTCCTGAAGTGACAATTACTTGAAATAATTAATATAAACATTTTTAATAAGGATACATCTGACAACTAATAAAAGATGGGGAGAATTTTGTAACTAGAAGTTAACCATACTTACAAAAGAAAAAGTGATTTTTAATTCTTTTTTTTTGTTGTTCCTGCAACCACTCCTTGGTGCAGCATTTTTATCTTTCCTCTTGTGGGCTGGTTGGCTTGCAGAGCAGTGCTCTGATTAAACTCTTTTTAATGAACCAGATACACGATAGTGCAATTACTTGGCCAGACTTCAGCTTTTTTTCTGCACCTTCTACATGTCAGAGGAGATAGAAGTACCCAAATAACCAGATTGAATATCTTGAATTGTGTGGGAATTCTTGATAAAAAGTGAATGTTGTCAAATACTTAGCCACTTGCTTATTAAGCATGTCCTGGCATGTCCTGGCTTTATATCTAACCAGGCACCAGGATGGAGCTCCAGATCTGCATGAGCAGGCTGATTCTTTCACTGAATCTTCATTCTTATTTATGTTTATTTTTCATGTGCTTTTGTATCTCTTCCTGTTACTAACTTCTCAAAGAAGGAATTTGTTTAGCAAGATGGAATGTAATCCATCACTCCAGCAGTGACAACTTTGTACTTTTTTGTATATTTGTAATACAGGGCTATGGGCGAAGATCCCGAACAACTTCAGAGTCCTCCGCTCATTCTGCAGGACGAGAGAGATCCAACTCTGCAGCAAAACAGCCTTCTCCTCCTCCCACTGTTCCTGCAGGGCAAGAGACTAAAAAAGAAACAAAAAAGGAGCCAGCACCTAGAAAGGTAACTGTTACTGGAGGAGATTTGTTAGCACCTGTGGTTAATGAGAGGTTCTCCTCCCCCTCTACTCTGCCCTGGTGAGACTGCATCTGGAATATTGCGTCCAGTTCTGGGCCCCTCAGTTCAAGAAGGACAGGAACTGCTGGAGAGAGTCCAGTGTAGGGCTACAAAGATGATTAAGGGAGTGGAGCATCTCCCTTATGCGGAAAGGGTGAGGGAGCTGGGTCTCTTTAGTTTGCAGAAGAGGAGACTGACGGGAGACCTCATTCATGTTTATAAATATATAGTGAGTGAGTGTCACGAGGATGGAGCCAGGCTCTTCTCGGTGACAAACAATGATAAGACAAGGGGTAACGGACACAAACTGGAACACAGGAGGTTCCACTGAAATTTGAGAAGAAACTTCTTCTCAGTGAGGGTGACAGGGCACTGGCCCAGGCTGCCCAGAGAGGTTGTGGAGTCTCCTTCTCTGCAGACATTCAAAACCCGCCTGGACGCCTTCCTGTGTAACCTCATCTGGGTGTTCCTGCTCCGGCAGGGGGATTGGACTGGATGAGCTTGTGAGGTCCCTTCCAATCCCTAACGTTCTGTGATTCTGTAACGCCTGGTCTGGGATGCTGATTTAAGAGGTCTTAACTAAATGGTTTCATTCTATTTATCAGGTGCAACTCGGCTCAGAGTCAAAGTCCCTGTCAGAAAATGAGTTATAGCATGAATTTTTCTTTTAATCTGTCTGTAAAGACAGTGTTGAGATAATTAACTGAATGGATGTATTTATTTTTAGAGTGGTGCAAACTGGTTTCGCTGGCTGATGGGAAAAGGAAAGAATGAAGCTCACCTTCCAGATGACAAGAACAAATCAGTAAGGCCCCTAAATCACAAAACCTTTATACATTTTAATTTGTTCAAAATGTTTTCCTGGATGACAGATGAACGTCGTTCTGACAAGTAAACAAATGTGTGTAAAACTTTCAAGATTATGCTTATTCCAAGGCTTGCTATTTGGGAAAAAAAGAGTTGCCTTTTTTTTTTAGTTTAGCAGCTTTGTTTGAACTCTTAATCTTTGACTGATTTTTTTTCTTGTAGATTGTTTGGGATGAACAGAAACAACGCTGGGTTAATCTGGATGAACCAGAAGAAGAGGTAAAAATCTGAGTATTCATTATTTCTCCAGGTGAAAAGCTGAAATCTCTACTGGCACACAATTTTCTTTAATCTGTTATTGGCTCTTAAAAGCTGACCTTTACTGAATTTGGATTAAAATGTGCAGCGTCTTGAAACTAAAACAGGTTACATGCTCTTACAGTTGACATCCTTAGCAAACCATTTGTATCTTTAGTTGCTGGTGTGGACCAGTAGTTGCAATTGAATTTACAAGGGAAGTTGCTCTAAACTTAGTCCAGTGTATCTGTTCATAGACGTTGGTGTCACTTAAGACAGTTGGTTGTTAATTGATTTGCTGCAAACAGAATATAGGGGGAGAAAAAGGTAGAAAGAGTCTATCATTTTGAAAATTTAATGCATCATAGAGCAAAGCAAATCACACATCCTGTCCATCCTTGTCATTCAAGGATCTGTCTTAAAACACAAAACAAATCACAAGAACCACTGTTGTAAATGTTTTGTTTTAGAGTGAGCGTAGATGAGTTGTAGCAATGCCTTGACATCAGTTCAGTTCAGTTATCAGATGGAAGATGAGGAGTATTGGTCTGCACTACAAGATGAATGTCTGCATACCAAATTTTACGTGCTCTGGAATAGGTAAGGAAGGGGAGAAGTCAGATGGATGCTTGGTTTAAAATTCTTATCCAATCACATGGTTTGGTTTTGTTTTGTTTTGTTTTGTTTTTCTTCGTTCTCCCTGCAGAGTAAGCCTCCACCACCACCTCCAACTGGATTTCCTAAAGTTCCTCAGTCAGCTCCAGCTGGACCTGGAGGCCCACCGAGTGCCCCTGTCAACGTGTTCTCCAGAAGAGCAGGTAACAGACAGCGTGATGCTTGCAGTATGGAAGACTTCAGATGTTCTCTTGCATAAAATGAGAAGGCAGAAATCTTGGCTTTTCTGGAGCTGTATGGGAACAGTTGGCAACTCAGTAATGGTAACCTGGAGCTGTGGCTATTGCTGGCTTTGCTTGAGCCCAGCTTCTGTGCTGTGATTGCTGTCGCAACTGAATTGTGACTTAGATGTTATTGTTTGTATCCCTGAAGCATTATTCTCTGATTCTGAAAGATAGCTTAACCATCAGACTGTTCAAAGTAAACATGGGGATGACTAGCACAGGGCTCATTTGTGTTATTTATTTTTTTTTTCTGTTTTAGCTGGAAGCAGAGCCCGTTACGTTGATGTCTTGAATCCGGGTGGAACCAAGTCAAGTGGTACTGTTCCTGCACCATCAGACCTGTTTGCGCCCTTGGCACCAATGCCAATTCCTGCAAATGTATTTGTTCCAAACTCAGGTGTGTCGTGAGTGGATAAAATCGTAAAGAGGTTGTGTGGTTATTTCTATTTATGTGGTCGTCTAAGTCACTTTTGCCAGTGTGTGTATTACATAGCTTCTAACGAGCATGTAAGAATGTTCAGTCTCGTTAACTCAGATTTGTTTTGAAAGTAGAATCGGTCTGGGAATGGCAGTAAAACAGATGGGTTAGTGAAGCCCACCTCTGCCTGCTGCAAACAAAGGGCCTTTCTTTTTTGCCCCCTTTTTTAATGCCTTTTTTTTTCCTCCCCAGTTGCAGAGTGGCTAGGTGATCGAAGTAGCAAAACTTGAACTGTGTTGCTTGCTATCTCGTGCTCACTTCTCACACCTGTTCCTAGTTCCAAGGTTGCTATTTGGGAAAAGAAAGGTGGAAGTCTTACCTGCATGCTTGCTTACCATCTTTCTTTTTTTTTTTCTGCTTTCACTGTGCTGTGTTGCACCAAGGTTACTTGTATGAACTGTCCACCTCTCCTGCTTGCAGACTTGTTACAAGGCTGAGGCATCTCGAGACATTGACACTGCCCTCTTTAAATTACCTTTTTCATGAGAGAAGACTGGTGCTGTAGAAATGCAGTTCTGTAGACGGCCCTGTGAAATGTAACACCCTGGTGTGTGTTTGGCTAAATCCCATTTGCTTTGTAGTTCCAGGGGAACCCCAGCCAATGGAAGGGAGCGGCGCAGCAGAGCACACACCACCTGCAAATCAAACTGACCTAGATCCTGCTGCAGCTGTTGAGCCAGAGGTGGGTTAGAAAGAATTTCTTGTATATATAATTCAAACTTCTGATTAAAAAACCCTCATGGTTCTGAATAGCTTCATAGCCACAGTACATACAAAGCATGTTGTTGTAGGGATTATGTTTGTGTAGGATATTATAAGTGCTACAGGTTCTGTGGGTGTAGGAGAAGGACCAGGTACACTGCATGTTTCACCTGGCTTTTGATGTATTGTAACGTCGGTTGGCTTCAGTGGGATCAATAGAGCAGAAATGTGAAATAGCATCATAGTAATGAAGATAAACAAAAGTATATTGTTTTTCTTTAGTATTTAAACCCTGCAGTCCTTCCTCCTGGATCTGGGCTTCCTCTTTCTAACCCTGATGGCTCCCAATCAGGCGAGGTAAGGCTTGATTCAAAGTAGTTGGCTAATGACTTTTGCAGCGTATTTTAACCATTAATTTGTAGTGGACTTAACATGGGCCATGTAAAAGAACAAGTAACTGATTCAGTTGCTGATGACTAGCCAAGGTGAAATCATACGACTGCCTCCAAAACTGTACAGAAAAGACCTCAAAGCCCATACAGGAAGTTCAGCCTCCATGTCCTTCATTTGATGGTGTGATCTCATTTTCCTATATAAGTAGACTTTTACAAGCCTTTTTCAGAGTAAAATGTCAGTAGCAGTTTGAGGATCTCTTCTTCCCTCCATGCATGCATATAATTTCACTAATATTATGTGCAAGACACAACGAGGAAAATGGATTGCTATGTGCCAGGCAGAGTAACCTTTGTTCCTACTAAATGTTTTCTGTATCTACATAGTTTTGTGCTTTAAGAAGTCCTTTTGATTTAAACTAACTTCTGGCTTTACTTTTTTTTTTTTTAACTTGAAGTTGGTTTAACCTTTGGCAGTGAGACTTTTAAAATTAAATAAAACAACTGAAAGCTTGGGGCAGTGACATGCATGACGACTTTTTTATTTGTGTTTTTTTGTATTTGTGTGTTCTTGCTGTTTTGTAGCTTTCGCGCTCTAGTTCAATGAGTTCATTATCACGTGAAGTAAGCCAGCATTTTAATCAGGTACATGTGGCTGGCCATTCTCATTTATGTTAACTTATTTACTTTTCCCCTATTTATTTTGCATCGCTCACATACTTAACTAATGCTACTTTTAGTCATTTTCCCCTCTCCTCATTTCACAGAAATAACATTCAGAGTAACTAATGATGTAGTGTTCCTTTTAACGCTCAAACAGGGTCTTCAGAGTTTTTGGTATTTGTGAGAATGCATGTAAATCCAGGCATGCTTTTCATTTACATTCTTGTTCCTAAGAGATTCACTTAATAATTTTGATCAGCACTTTCCTGGGATACCAAAGTTGTCAGTTGATTTTAAACAAACAAAAAAAAAAAAGGCAAAAAACCTCCTAAAAAGGCTCACACAGGCAAACCTTGTCATTCTGCTGCTGCCAGTCTCAAATCAGTAGTAATATTTCATCTGCAAAAGCCCCTGTAGGAATTAAAGGAATGCTTCATCTCTACTGTAAGTTCCAGTACTGTGGGGTCACCATAAAGGGGTGACACAGACTCTTTCTGATATTTCTTAGTGAAGTAAAACTTGACATAGGATGTTAATTCTGGGGCAAGTCCTAAGGTCTACTAACAAGAGCAGAAGGTACTAATTCGGTGAAGTCGCACTGGTGTCTTGTTTTGGTTTTGTTGCATGCTTTGGATTTTCAGAGCTATTTACAGTTTGTGCATGTGACATTGATTCGCCAATTCCTACATTAAGCGAGTAACATTAAAGAGATGGATGCAAACTGTACCGGCACTTTTTGCAGTTGTTACGATACGCTGCGCTGTCCGTATTGTTGGCGGTATTACTGTGAATATTTGCTCTTATATGATTAAGCAAAACACAGCTGAGAGGCAGCGAAGCTCTGCAGTTCCTTAACTTCAGTATCATCTGCTTTCTAGCCTGCCGCTGTGCCGCCCTCGGGGGGACCCTCGGCAGGAGCAGTACCCTTCTACAATCCTTCTCAATTTGCACAGGTGAGTAAAGCCCTCCTCATGTAACAGAACTATGATTTTGTGTTTTACTAGCTTAATCTGGACTGCTCAATGTGCACATAGACCAGTCTAGCAGCTGTTCAAATTAACAGCTTTGCATTCAAGACTTCATTGCCAAGTTTTTGTCTTTTGTCTCAGGTATGACACTCTTACAGAACGCTCTTTTTTATTCCTATTCTCCTTTTTTCAGTCTCCTGCAGTCACTGGAAGTTCAAGACTGGGAAGAATTGGACAGAGGAAGTATCCGACATTGAAGTAGAATACAATGGCTTTGTATTTGGAATTCTCACTCACGTTCCGAGTATGCAAAGAGCTATTCAGTCTTATGGGACATCGTATCAGTACGAGCTGCAGTTGACGTGACAGAAGTTTAATGATGGGTGATTTTTTCACGGGTCTCCCTACTTGCACCTCATTTACGCAAATCATTACCAAACATGAAATATATGTATCTTTTCCTTTTAAAAAAAACTGGCTAGAAATAGCTTTGCTGTGATAAAGAATAGACAGAGGGGAGGAAATAGTTGCTGTCTGTTACAAAAACACTTTGTAAATTGCATAGGCAATTTATTCCTTAAGTTTATTTTAAACCTGCGGGGGTGGGTGACTTTGAAGACACAGTTTCAGGGACTCCTTAATTTCTGAAGGATGCTCCCTTCCCAGAGTGGGGAAAAAACATGTCCACATTGTAACATGGCGCTCTGTGGCCTTAAGAGGACCATGCCCAATTTAATGTTCATTGATCCAGACTGGGTTTGTCTGTGTACGGAATCGAAGGTGTTCATCTGGGAAATGCCTCATGCTGGTTTGCTTTCTGAATGGGGGAGGGGGCCACAGCTCATCCAATTAAATTGACCTATATTGAATGAAAACTGTGACTGTAATCTAATACTAATTTGATTTGGATCTTGCCTAGTATGTATGTAGTTTTGTGTTTTAGACTACTTGTAAAGCAAATTGTATAGTCTGAAAGAAGATCTCTGTAAAATAGCCTATGCTGTACTATTTGATGAGTGAGTGTTCTTTTAAGTGCAATACGGTTACTTGCTTTCTCTCAAACTGCTGGCACTGGACAATTAAGGTGGTAACAGCTTGAAAGTTGTTTTAAGTTTTATTCCTGATGAGTGCCAGAATCAGCTTAATACTCTGTTCTTGAATTTCCATTACTAAAATAACCAAGGTCTTAAATAGCTGACAGCTGAATTTCAAACATACTAAAAGTAGACGGATTAGACTTCTACCAGTGGACTGTTTAGGATTAATATAGGAAATTTTGGAAACCATGATATGAAACATTCATATTTGCTGAAGAATCTGAATTACCTGCAAAGAGAGAAATAAACTTTAAATATTTATTAAATCATTAGGCCATATTTTATTTAGAACTTGCCAGCAAACTATTTGATTTTACTTGAATTTCTGCCCATGAGTAGAAATAATGTGAATGTGAAATTGCCAGTATTGGTCCCTGATTGGTTTTGGGTTTTTTTTGTTAGGTTTTTTTTTTCTTCTCCTGAATAATGCCACCTGTGTGAGATCTCGATAGCCTTACGTATATCCTAAAAGGTTTGTACGTAGCCAAAGTGAAATGCTGTTTGGGGGGGAATTAGAAACCTTTGCATAATGGTCCATACTCAATTCCAGACGTGGTCAACAGCAGTCAGTGTGGTTTACTTTTCTATAACTGAAACCTAGTCAGACACTTGGCTTTCCTCTAGTTCAGCCAGGCTGCTGATTATTTTCTCCTTTCAGTAGAGACTGCCAAACAACTTAATTCAAGAAGGCTTCCTTTGAGCTGGGAGCGGCTATCTTTCCTAAGTGTAAGATTTGACACTGTAAATTCTTAAATAAAATATTTTGCGCTCTGGAGCACTTTTCACATTTTACTTCTTCTTGTGGTTATTGCTTTAGCAAGCTGGGTGAAGGATCCTCTCTTGTATGCTTGGGAGTCTGTTTAAAGGCAGGGAGCTGGAGGCTCGTGGTCAAAATTGGAGCTGTAGACTTAATATAAGCAACTTTTAGTATTTTCTGAAGTATAAAATGTTTTTCTTTAAACTGCTTATTCAGATGCCGCCTTAATTTACCATGAATCGCGACAGTAGTGGCGTTATGCGATTTATTTATTTATTTATCGCCCCCCGCCCAGGGCGGTGGCGGGCGGCGCGCTCCTCCAGCCGCCAGGGGGCGCTGTTGCCGCCCGCCG